TGATGGTAAGTAACTATTATTCCTGAGCGCCATTGCCCAGGACGTGATACTGCACCTTACTTTCTGCCTTTCAGAAAAAACCTATTGACTCGCAGTGTTGGAAGCCACAAGAACAGCCAACAACACATCAATCTGGACGCAAGATTGGCCTGGGCCACACATCGTCCTGTGCAAACTGAACTGAACTGAACTGAACTCTAATGGATCTGATACTGCAACTAACATTCTGCCTTTCAGAAACTACTATTGACTCGAAGTGTTGGAAGCCAACGAAACTGCCGACAACACAAAGAACTGGACGCGCGATTGGCAATAGCCACAATTCGTCCTGGGGGAACTGAACTGAGCTGTACTGAACTGAACTGAACTGACCTTGAAAACGCATGCGGTTCGTGTCAGTTTTCGCTCGTCGTGCTTTTGTGGCTGTGGTGGCCCGGTCTGCAGGTACCTGCTGCTTCGACGTAGTCCCTTTGCGATGCTTTTCAGTACATACTCTGCTTTTATGTATACTGATCTATTTTTAAGTTCCCTGGTCCAATTTATGGTCAAACTTGTAAAATATTTTGCATCACAATGTACATACATATATATATATATATATGTATATATACATATATATATTGACAAAACATTGAAAATGGGTTCTCGTAGCTCGGGTGCTGATGATGTCCCCTCGGCTGGTGATGAAACGTTTGCAAACAAATTGCCAAGCTCGGCGAACAGGCGAAATGGAATATATATATGTATATATATATAGTAAAGTGAATTAAATCTATTTCAAAGTTTATCCAGTTTCGCTTCCACTAGAGGTATTGAGTATCTTGAAAGCGCCATAGTTATGTGTATGACATGGCATTTGCGTTGTTCCTATCATATCGCAGATGCGTTTTCAAGTCCGGATTCGTTTGTAGCATTGAAGCCGAAGACAGCGAAGTATGTTATGCTGTTATCACGGTGTTATAACATGGGTGATACTCAACCACCATCCATTTCGAGCAAAAATGTGCTATTGTTTGAGCCCCCGAAAGCTTCGGCACGTTCGATAGTAGGTTCTAGCTTACCACCTTTCCACTGCAACTCGCAAAATGCGTCCATATTGTTAATTCTTCCATTCTATCCTTGTTCCATTTTTGATGATATATCAGATGTTAAAAGTATATTATCCACTGCGTATTTCAACGCCAGGTCTGGCATTTCTGGCATATTTTAAGAAACATGTAGGGCATTGCATCTGGTTCAAAGGAATTGGTGTTATTCGAATGAACCCCGCCCTCAAGAGAATTTACTCGGCTAAAGGCCGCATAGACCGAGCCCACCAATGTAGTAATTCATTCCAACATTCACACCTAAGCATGATAACCGCTTTATCGATTTGGCTCACTCGAAAGTCCATTTGTTCATCTGTTGAGAAATCTGTTTATTCCAACTGGATAGGGTTTTGATAAACCTAATGCAATCGGTGACGCGTAACGGTTGAAGTACCAATGACTTTGGAATTCCCGATGGAATGCGATTGGAAGGATTCTCTGAAAGTTGAAAAGGTATAGAAGTTACTGTTTTACTTGTCCGAATAAATCATCATTACACATTGTAAGAACACACTAGCGAATTAGTCCGTTTGCGGTACGTCATCTACAGGCTAATACAGCTCAATTCGTCAAAAATTTTAGTAGGGGAGAGAAAACATGACAAAATGTGAAGTGTAATAATGAACCTTGCATTTGCATGACCGGATGTCACTCACGCTTTGGTCGTAACACCTTTGGTTCGAGTCATTAATGGCGGGTGGGGGATAACCGTTGGTCATGGAAGACCGAGTGTTCTTACGAAATGTTTTGGGGAGCACAAGGGGGATTATTCAGGCGGGTTCCGATCGCTGTGGCCAGAATGCGACTCCTAATCTCTTTCGATCGACGGCTGCAAACTAAGTAGATGGGTCGAAACGCCTCGGCCACATCAACCACGTGGTTTGATTCCACTAGGTGTGAAGCAATCGAACTGTTGACAGTCCTAATCAACCAACTATTCAGCCAGGCTGGGTGGTGCTCTCGGACTCTTTCAGATAAACGTCTTCTCATGTGATCAATATAAATTTCCCACAGGAACAAGTACACAAAAAGAGACTGCAGAAACACGCAATTTACCTTAGAGTTGAAAACGCCAAAGCGGCCTGGAAGTGAAAACTATGCGAAGTTTTGCTGCGAGGAATGTTTTTTTCCACAACTATACTCAGTTTACATATCACAATTTCGCAGGTTGTGTCGCCCTTGAAAGATAGTGATATGTAAACCGGTTTCTTCTCAACGGCAGAGATCTTATTTGGCAATCCATGACGCCCTTCACTAATTTTTTTGATAAATTGTGATGTATTACCCTGTAGATGAAACACCACAGACGAGTTTGTTTGCTACTGTTCTTCTGACAATGTGTATTGATAGTTTATCCAAACAATTAAAAGTAGCCAAATATCCTATCGTCCTGAAGGATCTCAGGAGGTATGAAAAGTTGCTGTTCTAGTATTGAATTCTTAATAAATTGCCTATGGTTTTCGTTTACTTTCATCATGTAAACCTATTCTTGTTTCTCGTAAATTTCGTTGAAATCGTGTTTTGCACTTGTCTGGGTTCAGATTATTAGACCCTGTTAATCGAACGTGTCAACCCGCAATACAATGCAACCTAACTAATTCTCGACACTCCGAAATCTCGTTCTAATTGAGATGAATTCCGTGACGTTGGTATAACTTGTCAGACTATGGTAGTGATTCAGCACTCAACGTTTTTCTGTTGTGAATGATGTAAATATATAGAGATATGTTTATATGTATATTCTGTTTACCTCTTCATTTATAGCTAAATACAAACTCATGTCCAATTCCTTCGCGCGGACGTTGAGTAGTTCCTTCACTCCAACGGCTCATGGATTGGATAAAGATTTTCGGCTTACTCGATTCTCATTATTGAAGGGATGAGGTTGCAAAGTTCCTCAAGCTGAATTAAAAAAATTGCTTGAGGGACTAAACTCTTCCCCAACACCCACTCCTTCCGGCGATAAACCCCTTTTAGGTTTGTCGATGCTTTTTTTCATCGCTAACGTTTGTTATACAGCCTTAGAACTTGACTGTTGTGTTGTGCCCGTGCGGAATAACTTCAAACTTATACAGACTACCGATTTTTTCTACCCCTTGATTGATGATCCTTACACTATGGTAATAATGTCTTTGTACTAATGGGTTTTGTTTTCAGGGATGGATTACGTGCTGCAACGTTTTGAGTGACTTGTACGCAATGGGTGTTGTAAACTGTGACAATATGCTCTTGCTGCTTGGTGTTGCACAGGGAATGACCGCTACAGAACGTGAAGTATGCGTGAAACTTTTGATGGAGGGATTTCGCGATTGTGCTGCTGAAGCTAATACGTGCATTCGTGGTGGTCAGACTGTTTTAAGTCCGTGGCTAATGATCGGCGGAGTCGCAACCTCAGTCTGTAGCGATTCAGAGTATATTATGTGAGTTTATGGCGGAGATAATTAATCGTCATTTGCAACTGAAACAACCGGTCGGTAAAACTGTATCACCCTAGGCTTTTTTACGAAACAAATTGAGTTGCCTGATTTACTACACTCTTCATTCCGATAGATTCTTATGGAGTTTACCAAGTCTTAAATTTCTTTTTTTTTCCTAACTGGGCATTAGGTCATCGGAATTTGACGACTAATTACCCTTTCTCTTTGTCATGCCGTGATGTCTACCATAGGAAGTCAGTAATGCTTTAACGCATGGGAAAAAATAAGTTCCTCTGTTTAACAGTATTACTTAATCTTCGATGCTTTGCTTCGGCGTCACTTAAGCATCTCGTGATTGTCTCATTTTGATTCGCGTTAAACTCCTATTAACCTGCATACTAGTGGTGCCGTGTCCCCCAGTTCGTTCATCCGTGGCTTAGAGGCACAAACCTGATGTATACATTTGACAGGAATTCTGTGGACTTTTTGTACCGGTTTATCCTAGCTGTTCTTATAAACTCATTATTATTATTTCCCTACTCTGCCAGTAGCTCCAAACGGAACTCTGTTTTGCTTATACACAACCTTGTCTGATGGGGAAACCGGACGAGCAATGCTGAGTTAGGTGCAGAGTTTTAGGTAATCGTGGTAGTCCACTGGAGCAAGTGTTCGACCTCCATAGATTACGTTGGTTGGGGCATGTGCCGTGCATGTCACCCAATAGGTTGCCGCGGTGAGCGATGTTTTCCGAGGCGGGTGGTGGATAGGAAAAGGTCATGGGCGGTCAAAGTAAGAGCTGAGATAAGGGTCTGACAACCTTAACCAGAACACTGGATCACAGGTCCCGTTATGCTCCCTGTATGGGGACCCTGAGGTCTTTGCAACCGGAGGTTAAAGACTGCGTGATATGGCTGAGTGCCGCAAAAAGTGGCACTCCTGCATCTAATCCATATTCTTGCAACAGCACTATTTGGATTCTATATCTTCCCCAATGAATTTGCTCTCAGCATCCAATCCTCATTCTACTCTTATATAACTAAGCGACCAATAGACAACAAGCAACACCGGTGCACGAAAGTGCATGGTTGCCAAAACGGAAGCTGCCTGCAGTTCCGATTTGTGGTTAAATTCATTTCCTAAAACCACTGAAAGTGCACTTTCACTCGGTGGTTTCAGTTACTGTTTTTTTTAAGTAGAGTTAGGACTGAAATATTGGAAGCAGTGTGTAAAGATTGAGAATTCAGTTCAAGTTCGGTTGCGAAGAGGATAAACAAATATCCTAGACCAGCGGCGCCTTTTGAAATTATAACAACTTGTGCCGTCGGGAGGATGGAGGTTCCCTGGCCTGAAGCCTTCGATGATGGAGACGCGAGGACGTTCCTGGAGGAGTTCGAGGAAGTCGAGGAGCTGGTGGGAATACGGTTGGATCGGGGTAAGNGGGCAGTGTTGGGTGCGGCGCGAAGACGCCCGGAGAAAATGTACTGGGCTACCGTGAAGAGCGCCCTAATTGCATGTTTTGACACCCCGGCCGACCGCCAGCTGCGTTGCGGAGCTTCAGAATGGCGCAGCTCGCAGTTGGCGTGGATCCCTTGTCGCATGCCGTGGCCCTGCGCACCCTGTTGGATCGTGCACTCCCAACGTTGGATGAGGTCGCGCCTTCGAATTCACTGCTTGATCGCTTCATGGAGACCCTGCTCGAGGACTTGTGGGAGAAGGCATAGATAATTAATGCTGAGAAAACCATGGATGCATTCAAACTGGCGGATGTCCTGAGGGGATTCACCTGAGCTAAGTTTACTCGTCCAGTCAACCGAAGATCCTGGACTCCAGCCTATTGGAAGTATGGCAACTCTCAAGAAGCTAACGGAGGTCGCAGCGCTCCGAACTGATTTCAACCAGAGAGCTCTCAAGAATGGGAATTTTGAGCTCCAAAATACCGAGTGCTGGCTGATAATTGCCCCGAAACAGAGCGCAAGTGGTTCCTGAGAGAACCCCTGATTTCGTTTAAATCGTTGCCCTTGGACAAGGCTCCCTGTGGAACAAATGATCGTTGGTCAGTCCAGACCCATATGAGATGGTAGGAGAGAAATTGTCGTGTTTGTTTGACACATGCGCTTCTGTGTATATGGCGGAACCTCAGTCAACTGAGTTGGTAGAAGTTTCGAATACGGCAGTGATGACAGTTGACAAACACCAGCCACAAGCTGACAAAGCAAATCTAACTTTCTCTATCGAGAACACAATGGACAAGCAAACTGGCCGGACCGCAAAACAAAACGATGAACAAGTTAAGGTTACCTGTGAAACGGAAGCCAACTGCACTTCTGAAAGCGCCCGAAGCAGTGTGCAAGCACCATGTCGATGCCCCTGGGTCAGTGAAGTTATTCCCCGGATGGCGAAGTTCAGGTAGACTACGGATGAGAAAGACTTCAATGAATATGTTTCCAGGGATAAGTGAAGGCAGAGGTGCGTATCAAAGTGAACACAATTGATGGTGCCGGGACCAGAGCCGTACGCCAAAAAGTCGTCAGAAATGAACCTACTGGTCGGGTCACCAAAAATCAATCATGAAGTCACAAGAGACTGTTAACCAAATACGAGTCTGTTCGAATTCTCAAAAGAAAGAGCTCATTGCCCGCTGCATGCAGAATTCCTTTACACCGGGGATGGGAAAGGAGTGTTGTGAGATACTACTCACTTGTGCGTAGTAGGTAACTTTCTATGATAAAAAGTATTACCAGATCACAGTGAAAGAATAACCACCGACTGCCCTAACCATTATTCGATATGCCTCCAGGAACGGTGATGGTATGTTGCTGATGAGATGTTTTGTTATGTATGACAAATTGGCAGGAACCTCGGGATGATCGTAACCGATGGTTAGAGACACTGAGTGATATGGCTGGGTGTCGCAACCAGTAGCGTTCGTGCATCTTCGCAATCTCTTTGCGACCTTGGACCACTGAACTTCTCCATTTTCTGTTCGACTCCACTTTCAAGTTGCCTTTCTTCTCCTATTCTTCATCCAAATGGACAACCAAAACCGGCGCACGAATATGCATGGTTGATGGTTGTTGAAACTGAACTGATGGCAATTTCGTGATATCCCAACTGAAGTCCTCAATAAACAAATATCTTCGACCGGCAGCGCCTTTTGGAATTATGACACGAAGTATGCAGATACAATGGTCTCAATATGTTTACATAACCCAGCGGCAATCCTTTGCGAAGCAGCGAACCTATCAGGGTTTTACAGTCAACTGAATCCAAAGCCATTTTATGTG